CTGAGCGCGGCGGGGATGGAGGTCAGAGGAAGAGGGAGGGCGGGAGGGAGGCAGGCCGGCCCGGAGGGACACGGCAGGAAGGACCGAGCGACCCGTCGGCGGCCGGGCCCGAAACCCGCTGAAAACAACCGCGATCTCTGCGCCTCCCAGATTCCTTTAAAGCCTCGGAGTTATTTATGGTAGGCAAAGGGGGTGCGCGCAGAAGTGGCTTGCTGCCTCGACGTGTTTGACGGCTGTTTCTGCGGCGGCGACCGTCCTGCGTGGATGCGATCCTGGGCGTGCAGCAAATGCCATCGATGTAGGGCTTCGTCTGCCTGAAAATCCCAGTTACGAGCAAGCAGAGCAAATGGTGACAATATACAGTAGAGATACTCTGCGTGGTATTCTGTTCAGAAAATATGCACCTGACCACCGTTGCCCCCATCGTGTCCCCGGGGCCACCACAAGATGCCCACCGCCACCCTTGAGGGCAGAAGGCTAACGTAGTGGATGGGGGGCAAGCTCAGCTTTCCAACCCTTATCCACTGTTACCACCAGTAACTGGCATGGTCACCTCACTCAGCCTTGGCCCTGGCCTCTCTATATGGGCTTCTGATATATTTGAAGAGATCCTGTTTGAGGCATGATGGTGCTTCAAAACAGAATTACATCCCTCAACCAGTATGGTGTCATGGTTAAAGTGTTGAACTGGAATGGGGGAGACATGGGTTCAGGTCTACCTTCAGCCATGAGAACTTGCTGGGGGACTTTGGGACAATTGCTTTGTCCGCTGAACCTACCACATAGGGTTGTTGCAGGGATGAAGGGAGGAGACATTCCAGTGCAAGTCACTGTAACAAACAGTAGTTAGTTATGTCTACAAATATTACAGGGGGTTCTTCATAAACAATGAAAGAAATGCTTTCTCTAGTCTCTCAGCAGCAAGCATTCCTTCTCACTGTTTTGGACATGATAAAGAGACTACGTTTGATATGCACCTTTTACATTTGATTTATTGAGGGAAGCTATTCTCAAAAATACCGCTTCTCAAAAATGCCTTGGAACAAGATACTATCAATGGAAATTTACTGGCCTATGGAATGTGATTCTTTTGGTACAGTCCCCTGTAGTACCCACTTGCTTCTTATGCATGATTTGAGAAGAAAGAGATCTGTCTTTCAGTTAAATTTCCCCTATGGGCATATCTGGTTACTTGCAGTGGGATGGATCTCAATTTGAAATGCCTGCCAGCTTTGCAAAACAGTGTACATGGCAGATAACCAGTGCAAGCATTGAAGGATGATAAGTTGTACCACAAATCCTTTACAATCTTTAATCAACTGTTTAGCAATTTTGTGTGTGTGTGAGGCAGATCAGCATTGTTCTAGTTTTTAGGATAGCAAACTAAGATTATACTTGAGTTCTTGTATACTTACTTTGGTTCTACTTTACTCAGCTGGACTTGCTTCAGAGTAAAGGATTGAGTTGCATGTCCCTTTGGGGATTCTGCAAAAAATCTTCACTCAGGTTGAACAGTTCACTTTAATAAACATCTCTACTTGATCTAGTCTGCTTATCCTAAATTAGCCAGAAAGCAATCCAATAAGGATGATCCTAATTATTGGTGGTCAACTACTTTTATAAGTTTTTTTAAAAAGGAGTTAAAAATGGTACTGTTTATCCTGACTGCATATTGACTCATTTGAGAGTTCTCTAAACTAATTTTTAAAAAGAAAATGTAATGCCAAATACAGCACATTTTGGGAAAGAATCAAAAGAAGCATTCCAGTCTGGATCTTGCTGCTTTGGTTTTCTAATTGCATTTCCTATCCAGGTGCCAGGAAATAGTGCATGATTCTCAAAGACAGGAAATGCTGAATTGTTTTATTCCCAAAAAGTGTACCTTAGTTAATTTTCAGAGTGATTTCCTTTAATTGGAGGTCACATTTGACATATGAAAATAGTTTTTAAAATAAGCCAGGATGCATTTTTATACAGCCATTTTAGGAGACGATGATTGCAGCACCAGAAGGCTGCTACTGTACTGTGAATTGGGAAGGGTTTATGAAAGTCCTACTAATTGTTCCTGTGTCATTATTTCATCTCTCTGGAATGAAATCTGACATAATATATCTTACTATGATTCTAAGCACAACTACACAGGACTAGTAGGGGGCAAAAACATTGCTACTTTTCAAAATCAAATGGCTAGTTTATTTCCCTAGAATAAAAGGCAGATACATGATTCTCCCACATTTTATCTTCAAAGTGACCCTGTAAGATGGGATGGGTGAAAGATAGTAGCCCGTCCAAAGTCAACAAGCTTCATGTCAGAATGTGGATTCTTGGTCTTCATCAGGGTTCTACTCTTTTGTAATTTCTGGTATTACTCTACCTCCATCTCCAAGAGAATTCCAGTAACTGGGTGTGACAAATGTAAACAATCAAAATCAGTCTCATTGTGAATTTTGTGCTAAATACATTATAACCCTGCCTAGAGTCCTGGAAGTGTAAATTCTTCTTTTGTTTTCAGTAAAGGACAAAGTTGGATAGGATCCAGGAGATGCTAATCAATTCTAAGTATATCATGCCTCGTTGCTGTTTTTCCCCTTTGTTTAACTTTGTGGGCTTCCAAAAGGCACCGTACGGTGCATGGTGAGAAATATATTTGTTATCAGAGAGAGAAGAGAAAATAGTATACAGTTTTCATCCTTTTTGAAAATAACTTTTACAGGAAACATTGTGAAATTCTTGCACTAGATTCAAAAGGCAATTAGTTGTGCTTTTCTGCAGTAATAAAATATGTGTTCTTCTGACCAAGCTGAAGAAAGTGGAGTGCTGGCTAAGCAAGCCACATTTGTTCAACTTTCCTTCAGTGGTCTTATTAGCACATAGGTTTATTTTATAATTCTAAGTAATGCATTGAGCTAAAAACCAAAATAATTTCCATATTCTTCTTCAACAAAATGTGCATTGTTTTACTTAACTGCAGTAGATAAGATTATGTTTCAGGAGGCATGATCAAACCCTCTGAAGTTGCACTCTAAACTTATATCATTAAACTGATTAAACTTATAACCTGACTTGGTTATCATGTAACCTCACTGAATGTAGATGTGTATAAGACATGGCTGCTTAAAAAACAGAACAACGAGATATTGACATTTATTAGGACTGTGCAGGTTTGCAATAATTCAGAGGAAGT